AAAATGAATAGAGCGATTTTTTTTTTCTACGAATTTATTCTTTGTTTATTGTATAAGCCTATATTGGATACAGAATTATCGATTAAATGCTTTTCAAATATCTTCTCTTCATACGAATTATTGATATATTGCCATAACCCAAGGTCGTTCTTGAAAATCTATATAGCCACTCAAATGCCACTTAAAATACCGTATATTTCTATAATACTTCGTACATACTTTTTTTTTTTTTTTTTCTACAAATTTATATTAAAAGATTTAAATTTTAAAAAAGTAACTTCTATACCCAATACATCGTGTTTTTGTTAAAATCCTTCCAAGTTTTTGGCATTGTTCTACGATTATTTAATACCGCAATATCATTATTCATTTTTTCTAACTGATTGAAATTCGATCGAATATTCTTTAACCATAAATGTCCTTTAGGTTTGTTGCGTGATTCTTCTAAAAGTGTTTTAGTCTGTAGAATAATTAGATATTAATAAATAATATAAATACTGTCAGTATTATATGATTTTATTATAAATACCTTGTCTAATATTTCACACAAATAGTCCAAGTCTGCCTCGAAATTGGTTTCTTCTCCATCACTACTATCTTCATGTCTAATAATCAATTCTTCTTGAATTGATAAAATGTTTAAAGGTTGGCAATTTACAGAATTTTCCAAACGGAACACATTCACTAATTCACCATTATAAGAGGAAATTAACGGATAATTTCCATTTCGTTGTACCTAGATATATATGTAAAAAAAAAAATAAATACATATTGAAGTATTACGTATATATTTACATTTTTAAAATTTCTTACTTTCTTAAAAAAAATTGGATCTGCTTTTTCTACTAAATTAATCAAATGTTTACATAAAAAGAATCGGCTATGAATATATGCAGGACATGCACATATCCATTTAGCCGGATCAGTAAAATACTTGTTATTTCCTTGTATTTTTTTTTTTCAAGTAGCTTCCATTCCTTTTTGAACTCCTTACGCCATGGTACCAAGTAGCGACCTTGTTCTAGTAATTGAATTCGATATAAATGCCGATTAATAACTTTCTTTACAAGGATATAACATATATGATCAACTCTTGGTTTATAAAACTTGTACAGGTAATCGTGCTTAATTTGCCGCCAATGCGATTCTACTGTCATGGTAGTTTTAATATGGCTAATATTTTCATTAGCTGCCCGTGCCCATAAATTCCACTTATCCTTAGAATACCATTCTTTCCAAAAATAAATCCACAGTTGAAGTAAATTATTATCTTTGCAGAATTGCATCATTTCACCAACGCATTCTTTCCAGATTTTATTTGAACTTGTAATAAAAGTGCCATCAGATTTTGGCAATAGCATGTGATGGGTTGAATGGTTTTCTACAAGTTCCATTACAGTTTTTCGCAATTTCAAAGGGCAAAATATAGAATTTGAATTATTTGTAATTCCCCAATTAGGATCTATTGTAGGACATGTCTCATATGCACTTTTTGGATTATAAGAATAGTAAGTATTTTTTTTGTTAGATGCTAACCGATGTTTAATTGCCCATCGTACGTGCCAAATACATAATTGCAAATGAGCTTCAGGCCATACAGCTTGTGCTGCATTAATTTCAGAAAAGTCTTTGTCCGTAAGAATAAAAGAAAAATTTTTTAAATGACGTTCTTTCAAAGCTTGCATCTACTGAAAAAGAATTTCTGTTATATTTTGATGTCTTCCAGCTGTAATAAGAAGGTAGCTAAGAGGGAACCCAGTGCCATCAATTATACCTATAACAGAGTACAGTTCACAAGCCAAACTATTCGTACCATATGTTGCATCAATTGCGATTGCATCAAATTTATTATTAAGTAATATATTAAATAACAATGTTAAAAAACCAAGTGCTGGAGTAGAAGAATTAAGATTATCTACGATAATTTCTTGGTTAAATTCTTCTAACAAATGCTTAGCTGACAATAAGGGATCCGAATCTCGACAATATCTTTTACGAGATTCGATAGACCACCAATAGTAAGTTTGTTGAACTGTTAAATTTTCATATCCATTAATACAATTTTCTTGAATTTGGCACCAGATTTCAGGTACAGAAAATTCAATATTATTTTTAATAAAGGTTTTAATTTCAAATGTTGTTGCAACATGTCTTGGTCGTGGATGTAATATTTTATGAGAATAACAAACTTTAATTAAATCCAATTTCGATAAAATTTCTATACTTATTGTTCCTTCACAATGGTATCGTTCCAAATAAGGAAGTGTATCCCTTTGTTTATTTAAATCAGGATGTTTAGCTTGCCGTTTTCCGAGTTCAATGCGGCAATTACAATAATAAGTTACAAGGAGAGAATTTTTTTTTTGATTTTTGATATGATAAACCCATGAGTAACCATCTCCTTCTGAAATAAGAGTAATTATACGATGACTAATTTCGAAATCAATGTTTTCTTTTTGAAATTCTTTATCTGAGATTGCATCAAGAAAAGATGGCAATTCAATATTAAATTCCAACTCCAATCCTTCATTTTTGTTTTCGTAGAACTCATCAGTATCATTTAAAGAAGTTAAAGAATTGTATATTGTTTCGGTAATGTCAAAATGACTAATTATCATAGTAGGTTCTTTATTTTTTGAACGTGAAAGTTTAATTCTGCTTCGACACTGTAAACACTTTTTTACTAGATCTCCTTTTTCGTTTAAGAATTCATCATAACTTCGTTTAGAATGACATCCTATGCATTCCTTAACTTGTTGGTTTGACATACTGAAAGTTCTTATAATCGTTCTTTGTTCAATTTATTAAAAAAAATAAAAATAAGAACGTTATAAAAAAAAAAAAGACAGTGTAAGAGATTTTTCAATTTACATTATATAAAGCACAGCGTAATTTTTGAACCAGAAAAAAACTTCAAAATGAAGAAAGAAGCCAGTGCAAATATGAACGATTTCATATTTAT